CACACCACACAACGCAAGTATAAACAGATTCACAACACAAACAGATTCTTGCTTATATAACACAAAAACATGTACAATAGTTTAATTCCCAAAAAGTTTGTACAAGGCTAGCCCACCCCCAACTGAAAAACATGCATTGTCCCCAATACATAAGAATGTAAAACAGAGTTTAGGGGCTCCCTAAGGTGCACTAAGCGCTATGGGAGTCGGAAGCCGGTTGAATGATGATGGGGTCACCCTCTGATGCTGAAGCTGGGACCGATGAGATCTCGGCCGAATGAGTGACCTCCACTGATGGATCAGGGATCTCTAGCTAGCCCGACACTGGAGCTGGGGCCTGTGAGCTGCTAGCTTCTCCTGCTGATGGATGAGTGGTCGATGGAATGGCTTGGGCGACCATGTCTGCTAGCAAATTTTCAATTGCCTTCTGAACAACTCTTGTTCCTCCTCTGCAACTGTAGGGGCAACAATCTGCTTACCCTTTTCCTGAGGGCCCTCATCCTCCTCGGACCATGACTCCTCATCAATATCTTCCTCGTCTGCCTCCCCACCTTCGAACTCTATAGAGTGTCCGAAATCCTCCTCAGAAGGAGTGTCAATATGTGCAGGGGAAGTCGGAGGCTGGGAACCCCCGACAGTCTGAGGTGCAGGGTCTGTCATCAATATGGAGAAGTCAAGATCCATTCTAACCACTACTGTGTCTACTCCATGCTCACCTTCTTTGGGCATGAAGGAGGATAAGTCGAGCTCCAGAGTTTGCATTTTGTGGAGCTCAGTCTTCATTGTGGCAACATCATCACGGAGCTTGGGTAAGTCACTAACCTCACCCCGCTCTATCTTCTCAACCCACACCTCAAGATGCTTCAGGTGATCCCTATAAGATGTCTGTTGCTATTGGATGGTCGTCACTGAGGACTGGATTAGAGTCAATGCCTTCTTTATGAGGGTAGAGAGGTTCTTCATAAGTTGGTCTACCTTAGCATTTGCATGTTGATCTAAGAGACCAAGCCTCGAAACAGCTGGCAGTGTAGCAGAAGACTGAGCAATGGTGGACTGAGAGGTGGGCTGTGGATGCAACAGTAGCCTAAGGAGACACATAAGTCTGGGAATCTGAGGGCTCTATATTAGCAGGAATCTGAGTCTGAACCTCTGGGGGAGCAACATCTACTGCATCATTAATGCGCTTGATATCAATATCCTTCAATGTTTTCCCTGTCTTGTCAGTGTGTGACATGGTAGGGACTTCCACAGCCTTACATAGGGCTGTGATCAAGCATAGGAATGGAAGTGACGTGGATGTCTATTTTGCCTGAATCCCTATCTCTCGGAAGATAAAACCACCCACATCAATTTTGATTCCAGTCATAATGCATGCAATGACAAGAGCTTTCTCAATGCTTATGTCAGTCTCATTTCTGGACGGTATCAATTGGGAGGTGACAAAGCTAAGCCAGAATCTACCCTCTCGCGATCTTCCTTGAATATTTTGTGCAGAGGGTTATCTAAGCAGGGGTCCCCTTTGCTATCACTGACGCTATCCAACTCCACTCGTTATTACGGTTTACCCATTTGGCATCATACTCAGTTGTGCCCGGTCTCCAGTTAGGGAAGTGGAACTCATTGATGGTATCACTGTTGCAGAACAGCTGATTCCCTCGAACCAATACAGTATCATAGAACACTTTGTTGCACTTGTGGTGAGCAGTCCTAGAGGCTCCATAAGAGGCATAAAACTCACGGACCAGTGTTTCATTGTAGTCATCAGGTAGCTCAGTGAAGCACTCCCATTTTCTATCTTTGATGTTCTCCAATATATGGGGGTACTACTCTTGTAGCCCATTCATACTTAGTTGCTTTTCGGTCAGGATTTTACGTTTTGTTAGCCCTTCTCTATATAGCTCCTTAGACCCTTTGACCCCAAACCTGAGTTGGAAGTCATCTCCTCTTTTCCTTTTTGCCTAAGCTTATAGATCAACTGAGGGCAAGGCCTCCTCCCCATCAGACTGGGAGGGAAGTGTAGCAGTAGGATCCGGTCGTGAATGTTTTGCTTGTTGTGCTTGACGACTGGTGGAGGCCTTTTTCTTAGCAGAAGATACATGTTTCTTGGGAGCCATATCTGCACAGAAATGAAATGTGAGCAACATAGTAGGCAACAATAGAAAAAGTACAAAAAATTGCAAGTATGCGACAGGTTATGCGATCGCATAACCACTACGCAGACCGCAAACCTGTCGCAAACTCTCTGCCTATTGAAATGATATATATATGCGATGCGATGGATTATGCGATCACATATCCATTATGCGGTTTGCATAATCATCGCATACTTAAATGCTAGGAAAACCTAATCACACTATGCGATCGCAAAGTCCACCGCAACGATGGATTTGCGATCGCAGAATGGCCGCAAACAGCATGGTACAAAAGCAAAGAAACTGTTTCAGTATGCGGTGACTTTGCGGTCCGCATATCACTTATGCGATCTCAAAGTCACCGCATTTTGTCATCTTCTTCAGGCCACCTAGGGTTTGTTTTGCGGGAATAATGCGGACCACAAATCGATTATGCAGTCCGCGGAAGTCACCGTTTCAACTTTTGAACTCAACTCTCAACAATGGCGAACCTAGTTTCACTACCCAGCACCCCAAACATAACTACCTATCCAAGAACCCCCTCACATTATGAACAGATACCCACATACGAAGAGGAAAAAGAACAAAACTAAAGGAAACAAAAATAGGGAAACATAATACAATTTAAACTAAAAATTTACATGGAACAAAGCGGGAAAGGAAAAACATACCAGTGATGGATTAACGAGCACACTTGGGAGATGAATTATAGGTGTTGTCTTACTTTCTTTGATTCAACTAGTCATTTTCCCTTCTCTTTTTTTCGTTTTGTTTCGTTTTCTTTTTGATAAAAAGAAAATTCTTTTGTTTTCCAAATGTGTGAATGCTGGTAATATGCGAGGGGACTTACCTGTGAAGTTCGTGATGGGTAAGTCACCACATAATACATTATGCGACCGCATAAGTGTTATGCGGTGAATTCAACTTGAGTTACTTGAGGTCACAATGCGATGCACTTGTGCAATCGCATAATTGAAATGCAGTCTGCAAAGTGCACTTCCTCGCCGCATTCCTACCACCAAATTAAGCCAAACAAGCTTTCTGGGTTTGCGACCACAATGCGGTTCGCATAGTAAAAATGCGACCGCATATGTCTAGCAAACTTCCCATAGTGACTTTTCTTCCCTTTCACACGCAATTTTACCCAGTGTTATGATCTTTTGAATCCCCTGCACTCTAACACACACTTTAAATTGCTCAATTAAATCTATCTAACATAAATTAAAATTTAAAGAACAAAAAGGGTGTTACCATATATGGGTTGCCTCCCATGAAGCGCTTGATTTAACATCGCGGCACAACGAAGTTGGCATTTCTTTGGGTTCACTCATTAGTCGGGCACGAACCATCTTTGAGAGCCAACTGCTCCACCAAGTGTTTTTCTCTCTCTGTGCCCAAGTAGTGCTTGACTCGCTGACCATTTACTTTGAAGGTTTGGAGTCCATCCTCGGATTCTAATTCCACAGCTCCAAAAGGAGATACATTGACCACTTTGAACAGATCAGACCATTTCGATTTGAGCTTGCTGGGAAACAATTTGAGCCTTGAGTTGAAGAGCATAACCAAGTCACCTGACTTGAACTCCCTTTTTAAGATTTATTTGTCATGGACGAACTTCATCGTTTCTTTGTACACAGCTGCACTTTCATATGCATGGAAACGGAATTCCTCCATTTCATTGAGTTCTGTTAACCTCAAATTTACAGCTTCAGCCCAGTCCAAGTTCAACCTATTTAAAGCCCACATGGCTTTGTGCTCTAGTTCTACGGGTAGATGACAAGCCTTGCCGAAGACTAACCGATAAGGAGAAGCGCCAATAGGAGTTTTATACGCCGTGCGGTATGCTCACAATATGTCATCTAGCTTCCTTGACCGATCAGTCCTGTTTGCATTAATTATCTTTGCTAGAATGTTCTTTATCTCTCGGTTGGAAACTTCAACTTGGCCACTTGATTGGGGATGATAAGGTGTGGCCACCTTATGCTTGACGTCATATTTCTCTAGTAGCCCCGCGAAAGCCTTGTTACAGAAATGAGACCCACCATCACTAAGAATGGCTCTAAGAGTGCCAAACCGCGTGAATATATTTTTCTTTAAGAATGTGGTCACACTCCATGCCTCGTTGTTTGGTAAGAAAATTGCTTCAGCCTATTTGGACACATAGTCTACAGCCACCAAGATATATTTCATCCCACAAGAGCTTACAAAGGGACCCATAAAATCAATATCACACACATCGAAGATCTCTAACTCCATCACAAAGTGCATTGACATTTCACGCCTCTAGGAGATTGATCCTTGCCTTTGGCATTGGTCACAAGCCTTGACCATTTGATTGGTATCATGATAAATCGACGACCAATAATAACCACATTCAAGTACCTTAGCCGCCGTCCCCATGGTGACCCCCAACCGGTGAGTCGTGGCATGCCTTTAGAATTGGCATAATCTCTTCTTCTGGAACACACCTTCTGATGATGTTGTCAGCACAAACACGAAACAAGAATGGTTCTTCCCAATAGTATTGCCGACAATCTCTTAAAAACTTCTTTTTTTGATAGGATTCCAATCCATCCGGAATAATGTCACTAACCAAGTAGTTAGCAATATAGGCATACCAAGGAGCAAATGTGCTAGATAATGCCAATACGTGTTCATCCGGGAATGCATTGTTGATTTCAAGATCTCCCTTTGGTCTCCCTACCTCTTCAAGTCTTGATAAATGATCCGCCACTTGATTTTCCGTCCCTTTTCTATCTTTGACTTAGAAGTCAAACTCTTGCAACAACAGGACCCACCGAATCAACCTAGACTTTGCATCCTTCTTTGCCATAAGGTAGCGAAGAACAACATGATCTGTGTACACTATCACCTTGGATCCCAACAAGTAAGCCCGGAATCATAGATAATGGCAAGAAGTTCTTGCTCAGTCACTGTATAATTCATTTGCGCTCCATTGAGTGTCTTGCTTGCATAATAGACCGGGTGAAGAACCTTGTTGTGACGTTGGCTAAGCACTGCTCCAATAGATACACCACTAGCGTCACATATGAGTTCGAATGGAAGAGACCAATCGGGTGTGACAATAATAGGTGTCGAGGTGAGATTTTGCTTAAATTCCTCAAAGGCTTTGAGGCATTTCTCGTCAAACATAAATTTTACATCTTTCTCAAGGAGTTTGCAAATAGGATTTGCAATCTTGGAAAAATCTTTGATGAAACGCCTATAAAATCCGGCATGCCCCAAGAAACTTTGGACACCTTTACCTGAAGTAGGTGGAGGAAGCTTGGAAATGATCTCGATCTTTGCCCGGTCGACCTCTATGCCATGTTTTGAAATTTTATGCCCCAATACAATGCCTTCATCGACCATGAAATGGCATTTCTCCCAGTTAAGCACAAGGTTGGTCTCCTCACATCTCTTGAGCACTTGTCTAAGATTGTTGAGAAAATGCTCAAAAGAGTCACCTACCACCGAAAAGTCGTCCATGAAAACCTCTAGAAAATCCTCCACCATGTCGGAGAAGATGGACATCATGCATCTTTGAAAAGTAGCCGGAGCATTGCACAAACCAAACAGCATCCGGCTAAAGGCAAAAGTTCCATAAGGACAAGTGAGTGTTGTCTTATCTTGGTCCTCCAATGCTATGTTGATTTGGTTATAACCAGAATATCCATCAAGAAAGCAATAGAATGACCTTCCCGCTAGCCGATCAAGCATTTGATCAATAAAAGGCATAGGGAAATGTTCTTTGCATGTGGAACTGTTGAGCTTCCGATAATCCATACACACCCTCCATCCGGTCACCGTTCTTGTTGGGATGAGCTCATTGTTATCATTTTCAATCACAGTCATGCCTCCCTTTTTCAGCACACATTGCACCCGGCATCCAACCTTGGTTTAGTCTTATTCTCCAATTGGATCTTGTGTTCGCAAATTCCGGCAGGAATCCCTCGGATGTCCGCAATTGTCCATCCAATAGCTTTCCTATGCTCCTTCAAGACATCCAACAATTGTTCTACCTGCACATCATTCAACAAAGAAGAAACGATTACCGGTAAAGTATCATTTGAGCCAAGAAATTTATACCTCAAGTGTGGTGGAAGTGGTTTGAGCTCTAGTTATGGTGGATCAATGATAGAAGGCTTTGCGGGAGGAGTGGCTCTATTCTCTAAGTCGAGAGAGAGCTTCGCCGGAGCATAAGTGTAGGACCCAAGCCACTCCAATGCATTGACTGATTCCATATATCCTTCCATATCTTCACCATCAAAGTTTACCAAAATAGGCGCCAACGCCTCACCAAGGCATTGTTCTTCCATCTTCATTTCAACCGCATCTTTCACTTTATCAACAACATCAATCACCGAGATGCTTTCATATTCATACAATAGTTTCATACCCTTGCTTGCTTGGAATGTGACCTCTTCATCATTTATACAGAATTTGATCTCATTCCGTTCCAAATCCATTAGTGCTTTTCCTGTGGCTAGGAATGGTCTCCCCAAAATGATAGGGATCTCTTTTTCAACCGCACAATCAAGGATTACGAAATCGGCGGGTAAATGAAACTTTCCCACTTTAACAAGCACATCATCGATAATTCCCACCGGTTTCTTTATGGAACAATCGACCATTTGCAATCTCATACTTGTGGGCCTTGGCGTACCTAATCCTGCTTGCTTGTAAATGGCAAGAGGCATTAAGTTTATGCTAGCCCCATTATCACAAAGGGCTCTTGCAATATCATGTGCCCCAATAGTGCATGGAATAGTAAAAGCTCCCGAGTCTTCTTTCTTTTGAACGATGGATGTTGCAATGATGGAACTAACTCGGTGAGTCACATTCACCACTTCATTCTTGGTGGTTCTCTTCTTGGTAATCAAGTTTTTCAAATATTTAGCAAAACCCGACATCTCTTGAAATGCTTCCACAAATGGAATATTCGTCGATAATTGCTTGAGAATGTCATAGAACATTTCGAGTTTGCAATCATCAACCTTCCTAGCAAGTCTTTGAGGGAATGGAGGAGAAGGTCTAGGAATAGGAGGTATAGTTTTTGGTATCTCTTTTACCTTTTCCTTTACCTCTTCCCGATTTTCTTCTTGCACTTTCAAATCTTCCGGAACCTTTTCAACTTCAACAACACTTGGCTCTTCAACCTCAACCTCATGTTCGGGCTCTTCTAATTCAACCACTTGTTCACTCCCTCCTTGTAGTACCTTCCCACTCTGAGTAGTAATTGCAATGATATGAGAAGCTGGACCACTCCTACTACCCTTTGGGTTCGCAATTGTGTCACTTGGAAGTGTCCCTTTTTGCTTGGGATTTTGTTCCCTAGAGAGGTCTCTCATTTGCATCTCCAATTTTTGATGGATGCGGTATGAGAGCCAACAAGCTCGGTCATATTCCTCATAGAAGTGTCGGACTTTTCTTGATTTTGCAATACCCGTTCAAGCATGCTTTCCAACTTGGAATCACTTGAGGAACCTTGATTTGAATATTGTCCCTTTGTAGGAACATAAGGGTTTGAACTCCGATTTGAGAAGTTGTTGTTGTTATTCCAATTTCCTTGATTTGAGCCACCTTGGTCATTTCGCCACTGTTGGTTGCTTTGCCCTTGCGGGTGAGGCCTCCATTGATTTTGTTGTCCTTGACCTTGGTATTGTTGCCTTTGATAACCTCCTTGAGAGTTGTTGACATAGTTTTCCTTCTTAAAGCCTTCATTTGATATGGGTTGCACATCCTTCACCACATTTACCTTCTTCGTTTGGCTTTCGGTGAACATCTTTGTCAACACATTGACATTTGTGGCAAGCCCTGCAATCACTTGATCTCCCTCTTGATTTTCCTTGATCGTGGTGGTCAAGGAAGGAGAACCATATGCAATTCCACCTGTGGTGTCCTCTGAGTGCCAAACTTAATTATGTTTTGCCATTTTGTCAAGTATTTGTGTGACTTTGCGAATGATTTGTCCATAAAAGATCCATCAGCTGCATTCTTGGCTATAGATTGGTTCATAGGGTTGAAACCCATGTAGAATTTCTCCAACAAAATAGAATCCGAAAAACCATGATTGGGAGACCTCACCAAGTATAACTTGAATCAATCCCATGCCTCATATAGATGTTCTCCCGGTACTTGCTTGAAAAAGAAAATTTTATCCCGGAGCTCAAACTTCTTACTTTGTGGGAACCATTTAGCTAAGAATGCTCGGACAAGTTCAGGCCAAGAATGAATGGAGTTTGGTGGCATGTTTTGAATCCACTTCCTTGCGTCCCCAGCTTGTGAGTACTTGAACAACCTCAACCTTAGGGCGTCACTAGAGAAATTGTTCTACTTATGCATCACACACACACCCAAGAAGTTTCTAAGATGTTGTGTCGGATCATCATCAGTGGAATTCCTGAAAAACCACTCTGCTTGGAGCATAAAGATTAAACCATGTTCCACCTTGAAAGTTGCAGCACCAACAACCGGAGGTACAATATCATTTGTATCCTCAATATACTCATCTATGTCCGCAAAAGGATTTTCTTCCATTTGTTCCTCCATTTCTTCTTCGTATTCGGCCATGTTTTCCTATCAACACCAAGCAAAATTAGCAAAGTGTGATGGAATAGAATAATACACAAAGTAAAGCACACACTAATTAGTAATTTCAAAACCGTATTCCCCGGCAACGGCACCAAAATTTGATACGCTCAAATTACAGTTTAATTAAATAGTGTAAGGTGGTCGGTGTCAAATATAATAACCCAACAAGGTTGGGGTATAATCCCACAGGGAATATGCATGAAAAGGTTACTCGAGTAGTGTGTTACTTGACTTAAGTCGTAATTCTATTCGGTTAATTGTAACAAGAGTATGATATAATTGTGATTTGAAGAAATATCTAATTGTAACGTTGAGAATGTAAATAATTTGATTAAGGAAACCAAGGTTGTGTCCCCTTCAATTAAATGTAATGCTATCGGTGTGTCACTCCCCAACCTCGGGAGGCGCGACCGGCGCTCAATCGAGCAGCCCCTAACTGAGCAATCCTTATCAAGCACTTCCCACCCAACTCAATACGAATAAGGAAACCATGATTTAATTCATTTATTTAGACGAGGAAAGAGGGTGCATTCTACAATGTTAGATCATTTTAAATCACAACATTAAACCGTCGATAAGTTCCAAGATTCCATGCAAATACACTTTAGCAAAAGTGAGAATTTGAATTATATCATAGTTCGCTGACCCATCCAACACCCGCACATAATCCACACATATGTATACGGAGCCTCTAAGGATGAAAAGACAAGTTATGACAATGCCGGCAACAAGGCCCCGGTTATACCTCAAAAGTAGAAGTCTACAACAAAGGATGTGCAATATAACCCCTTGAAGGAGAAAGGGGCTCACCAAGACTTCAAGAAGAAGGTACTCCACTCCGCACGATCCGCACTATCTGCAATGGAGCCACCTACATTCATTTAAAAAAGTAGCGCCTCCGGTAAAAAGGGACGTTAGTACCATGGAATAGTACTAGTATGTATAACTAAACACCATCTAGTTAGAAAGAACTTTCATACAAGAATAAGAAATCACAAGTATAATTCAAGCTTTAAACGATCACCACCTTATCAAATAAAAGAATCATACAACTTCCACATCATTTTTACATAGCTTTTAGTTTGTGGCATTTCACACTATTCATCATTGTTCATAATACCACCGCTATCTTGAGCGGAGTCCGGCCTCGACCCGATCGGCTAGGTCACCTTATTTTAGGAATATATTTCAATCACAATCTCATTTCCTTTTCCGGAATTCATTCATAATACCACCGCTATCTTGAGCGGAGTCCGATCTCGGCCCGATCGGCTAGGCTGCCTTTCCAAGGCATTGTTCCCTTTGCATTAATCACTTCGTTTCACATATATCATTTCATAGGCACTTGGGGCCACACCTTATCACATTATCCTTGGCACTAGGCCGCATATTTACATTGTTCCCACATTCAATATTAGATTTGTAATTTAGGATAATAAGCACACACAAGAGAAATTAAAATTGTAGGCGTAAAAGAGACTTCACATGGATGGCGCAACATACGCAGCTTCAATTTCAATTTAAAGTCCAAGCATTTCGATAAATAATTCATATCCTTGCCCTCTTCAAGTTATCACGACAGCATGTTAATCATGTTGAGACACATTTTTCACGCATATACGGTTATAACATCAATTCATGTAAAATGACAAGCTATGCAACAATTCGGCTTTAATCTTACCATATTCACACAAACGCCGATGAAGCTCAATTTCTAAAAGATGGGGTTTTAACCATACATACCTCAACCGAGCTTTCCTTAATCCTATAACGTTCCATAATGTTCGCACTTCAAGTTATGTAAGCAATATAGCACAATTTAACTCATAATCAAGAAAAGATCATAATCTAAGTTCTCTTGAGCATTTTACCGAGCATTTAGTGTTCATTAAGGCCTTATGGTGCTTTTATGCAAGATTATACTAGCCCATTACACATGCCTCCTCTTTTATAATTCCTCATACTCTTCAAGAACACATGCATGCAATGCAAACCCCCTTATCCCCATGAATTAGCTCACCAATGACCCTTTGTAGCTATGTGTAAAAATGAGAGCTGAGGTGATGAAGCCTTACCTCTTGGGATGAGGGTTTAAGCCCCTCACTTGATTATCTTCTATGATTTACCAAGGATTCATGGAGTAATTTTGATGGGAAGCACTTCTCCTCTTTTAGACCTCTCTCTCTCTCTCTAAAAGTGTTAGGAAATAGGCTCAAAATGAGCTATTGCACAGGATATAACGACATGGGGTCGGGTTTAAAATTTAGAAAACTGGAGCCCTGACTCGGATCTGCGATCGCATTTGCGATCACAAAGTGGACATGCGGCCCGCATAATGGACCGCAAAATGCTCCCCAAGACCTGAACATAGTACCTGGGTATGCGGCAGAAATGCAGTCTGCATACCCGTTCTGCGATCGCATAATGCACCGCAGAACTGCCCCTTACAAAATCTCAAGGGAATTATGGGATGACTTTGCGGCCCGTATATCGGTTATGCGATAGCATAATTGGCCACATAGTTGACATAATTGGCCGTATAGTTGACATCCTCCCTCACTTAAGATCATTCGTCCTCGAATGAGGATCAAGGTTCGCTTATTAGCAATCTCTTATGCAACCTTTTGATTTTTTTTCTCAACCTAAACATACTATTAGTCTCCAAATTTGGCTAACTCCCTGAATTGCCGAAAATTTCGCCAGAGTTTCCTTTGTATCTGGGCCTTATCCACCTGTCAGAGAGCCCCAGAAACACATCCTAATAGCAGGTACACATTACATAGGCATAACATAACTCGTANTCGGCTTCCCAAGTGGCTTCCTCAACTTGCTGGTTCTGCCATAACACTTTCACGGATGCAATTTCCTTATTTCTCAATTTACGAACTTGCTTATCAAGAATGGCAACTGGAACTTCTTCATACGACAACTCTTCATTAACCTCAATAGTTTCAACTGACACAATAGTGGATGGATCTCCTACTACCTTTCTCAACATAGACACATGGAAGACCGGATGTACCAATGACAGCTCGGGTGGTAGTTCGAGCTTTTATGCCACCTGACCAATCCTCTGAATGATTTTGTATGGTCTGACATACCCCGGACTCAATTTTCCCTTCTTCCCAAATCGCATGATTCCTTTCATAGGGGAAACCTTCAAAAATACCCAATCATCTTCCTTGAACTCTAAATCTCAACAACGAACATCCGAGTAAGGCTTTTGGCGACTCTGAGCAGTTTTCAACCTCTCCTTAATAATTTTTACTTTCTCCATGGCCTGATGCACGAGGTCTGGCCCTATCAATTCCGCTTCTCCAACCTTGAACCACCCAATGGGAGACCTACATCTCCTACCATACAATGCCTCAAATGGTGCCATATGGATACTAGCATGGAAGCTGTTGTTGTAAGCAAATTCTATGAGTGGCAAATGGTCATCCCAACTACCCTTGAAATCAAGAGTACAAGCACGCAACATGTCCTCAAGCGTCTGAATGGTCCTCTCTGCTTGCCCGTCGGTTTGAGGGTGAAAAGCTATGCTAAGATTTATCTGCGTGCCCAAACCTTACTGAAATTTCTTCCAAAAGATGGTGGTGAACTGAGCCCCTCAATCAGAAATGATTGAGACTGGAGTACCATGCAACCTGACTATTTCCTTAATATACAACTGGGCATACTGTTACGCTGTTTCAGTAGCTTTAATTGGCAAGAAGTGCACTTATTTCGTGAGTTGATCCACGATTACCCAAATTGAGTCAAA